CTCAAATAAATGGCAAATAAACTGCATACACTGGTGGCCTAGCAGGTTAAGAGTTATATTGCAAACCCCAAAGCAGACAATTCAGATTCACCAGCTGCTTCATGGGAGAAAGATGGGCAAATCCCTGCTGTTCAATTTACAGCCTTTGAAAATTTGCTGGAGGGTCAATTATGGTTGGTTCCCACTTGATGGCGCATGACAAAAATAGCACTCCAAAATAACTAACAGATCAAAGATGAAATCAAAAGGAAAATTTGAAAAGAATGAAAACACAATATATTGGGACATATGTCACGCTGTGCTTGGGAGAAAGTATGAAGGTGGAAAATATATAATTTTTTTTACAAGGAAGCTCTCAAATCAATGCTGTAACTTCCTGCTTAAGACTTTAAAAAGAATAATAAACTAAAACTAAAGCAAGCAGAAATAAGAGAACTATAATGATTAAAGTGAAAAAAAATTAGAAAATTAAAACAAAAATGTTGTTTCTTTTAAAAAGATCAGCAATATTGAGAAATCTTTAACTAGACAGAAAAATGATGTGATTAGATCAAGATCAATGGGCATTGACATTTGTATCAATGAAAATTTGTTTTGCGTAAGCTGTGTAGGTATATAATGAAATAAAACACTGGGCTTGGAATCAGAAGCTCTCCCATTTGCTGGCTGTGGGACTTCAGGCAATTACTTATTCTCTCTGAATTCTAGCTACTTTACCTAAAAAAAAAAAAAATATGAAATATAGGCCCATGCATTAGATTCAGCAGGGCCTATAATTTCCCCCACTGCCATAAAGTTATTTTTGATGACTTTTTGCATTCTTCATGAACAATATTTTTGATATCTTCCCACAGCTTATCTGGTCTTCATTCATTAGTGTTCAAGGTCTCAAACCTATTCCTGAATTGATTTTTAAATTCATGGGAGATAGACTGAAGGTGAAATTTTGATTGCTGTGGATATGATTTAATCTTCTTTAGTTTTAATTTGAAGTTACATATGAGCAGTTGATGGTCTGTTCCACAATCAGCACCTGGTTTAGTTTTCACTGCTGATATTGAACTTCTACAACAGTTCCTTCCACAGATGTAATCAATCTTATTCCTGTACATCCCATCAGGTGAAATCCATGTGTATAACCTGGATTTATGTTTCTTATAAAAGGTGTTTGCTATGAATAAACCGATTGTACAGAATTCTATCTTTCTATCCCCAGCCTCATTTCTTTCACCAAGCACATATTTTCTGACTACTGATCCTTCTTCGTGATTCCCAACTTTTGCATTCCAGTCACCCATTAGTTCTTGTTTTATGTAAGTAATTTTCTCAGTTCTACCTTTTCTTTTTTTTATTTTTTATTTATTTATTTATTCTTTTTTTTTTTATGTGTGTACCATCAAATTGGATCTGACTGGTACAGGAGGCGATTGTTCCTCCTTCTTCAGCAGAGCATCTGGTGGATTTGAACCGCGCACCTCTGGGATTGCAGTGCAGTTTCCTGTCACTAGGCCACCAGTCATCCATTAGTATTAATGCATCTTGATTACGTGTTCAATCAATTTCTGACTGCAATAGTTGATGGAAATAATCTATTTCTTCCTCTTTGGCTCTGGTTATAGGTACATACATTTGAATGATAGTGATTTAACAGGTCTTCCTTGTGTGCATATGAAATATTATCCTGTCACTCACAATATTGTATTTCAATATTGATCTAGAGATGGCCTTTTAACTATGAATGCAACCTCATTTTTTCCTCACCTTTTCATCTCCAGTATAATCATATGATCGTGGGATTCAAAATGTCCCATGCCAATCCATCTCATTTTGCTAATACTCAATATGTCAATATATACACATTCAATTTCTTTTTTACAGTGTTCAGTTTTCCTACATTACACATTCCATGTACCAATTACTAATTTCTTTTTACAACTGTTTCTCCTCCTTTGTGTTTCTAAATTTGAGGGCTCAACTTCAGTTATCATATCTGTTAGTCTACTCTGTTTCATTGACTATGCAAATGTATTTGACTGTGTGAATCACCATAAATTGTGGCTAACCTTGAAGAAAATGGCAATCTCAGAACACTTGATCATGCTTATACAAAACCTATACTTGGACCAAGAAGCAGTTCTAAGAACAAAGCAAGGAAACACTGCATGGTTCAAAATCAGGAGAGGAGTTCGTCAGGGATGTGTCCTATCCCCATACCCTTTCAATCTGTGTGCAGAACAGATCATTCGGGAGGCAGGGCTTTATGAGGAGGAGTGTGGCATCAAGATTGTAGGAAGACTCATTAACAACCTACGATATATAGATGACACAACCTTGCTTGCTGAAACTGAGGAGGATCTGAAGCACTTGCTACAAAAGGTCAATATAGATTGAAGCTTAACATCAAGAAGACGAAGATTCTCATCACTGGGTCAATTGGCAGCACTATAATAGATGGAGAAAAGATTGAGGTTGTTAGCAATTATAGTTTGCTCGGATCCACAATCAACACTCTTAACACCAGCAGTTAGGAAATCAAAAGACGAATTGCACTGGGAAAATCTGCCATCATGGACCTCTCCAGAGTGCTGAAGAGCAACAATGTCAGTCTAAACACAAAAGTGTGCCTAATTCAGGCCTTGTTCTTCTCAATTACTTGTTATGCTTCAGAGAATTGGACAGTGACTAAGGATGGCCAATAAAGAATAGATGCCTTTGAGTTGTGGTGCTGGAGAAGTCTTGAACATACCATGAACTGCCAAGAAAACATATTGGTCTGTCTTGGAGAGGGTGAAACCAAGTCTCTCCTTGGAGGCTATGATTTTGAAGCTCTAACTTACTTTGGGCACGTATGTGGCCAGGAGAGATTGGTCCTTGGAGAAGGATGTCATGTTCGGAACGGTGGAAGGACAGTGCAGGAGAGGGAGACCCTGGATGTGTCAGAATTAGTGAGACTGGCTCAGGATAGGGAAGGGTTCAGAGCTGCTGTATGTAGGGTCGCTATGCATCCCGGACAACTCAGCCAATAACATTCTATGACAGGTTTGGAAGCAAGAGTGGCATTCACTTCCTAAATAACATGCCTCCAGAAACTTGACGAACTTTGATAAATGTTGATAGTTGCAGAGTGGCTTCAGGCCTTTTGTTCATAGGGTTATTATGAGCTGTGCTTGCCTTGAAGGCAATCAACAACAGTAACAACAGCCATAAAATTGGTTCTGACTCATCGTGACCTTCCATCAGGTTTCCCACCAATATCGTTTTGATCCACCAACCTTTTAGACAGTAGCCCTATACTTAATCCTTTAATATATCACAGGAATCCAAAATGCTCCTTTGAAACAAGGTCAGTGGGACTTCATCTCACATTCTTTTGGTAGGTTATAAGAAGAGCAGGTCTGGTAGCATAGCCTACAAGTGGTTGCGCTGCTGCTGTGACGGGTATACCTCTCTGCTGGTCCTAATTCACCAGCATCTCTGAGGGAGAAAGATGGGCAATCTTCTCCTGTACAATTTACAGTCTCCAGTGGAGGGTCAACTTTGAGTCAGTTCTGACTTGATGACAATGAGTTTAAGTCCCTAGAGAAAGATAACATGTTTGACCCAGGAGAGGATCAGCAAAACAGAAGGAGCATCTCACCGAGACAGTTTGACACAGAGGCTACAATAATGGCTTAACACAGCAGAGACCAGGAGGATGGTATAGAAGGAGGTAGTATTTTCTTCTGTTGTTCAGGATTGCTACAAGTTAGAGCCAGTCCGATGACACTTAACAACTTGGTAACATTTTTTCTAGCTTTGTAGATGACCCTAAATGATATTTGAGCAAAACATAGATATGGTGCCTGCTTTAGGAAGAATGAGTAGGTTTAAACTATCATTATAGATTTGATTGATTGGCAGGGATTGTCTGCAAAGCTGCGCTGAGAGGTCCTTATGGTCCAGCAGCTCAAGTGTTAGATCTATTCATGATGTTGCTATGGGAAAGAGCGGGAGAGTGATAGCAAACAGACTTGGTTATTTAAACGATCTGGCTGGTTAATATACGCATATCCTCAATCCTCTCCTCACTTTTTTTTTTTAAAAAATAGTGGTACAGTAGCATCATTCTCAACTTCCACATGGGGTACTTGATTAAATTGCACCACTACATCTCATGTATGATCGCTCTACATCTATTAGTAAAGACTTGCTATATGCTACAGTGAAAGTTTCAGGAGAAATTACAGATGGAAACAGATTAGCCAGAAAAGCTTGTCTATCTACTTTTGAAAGCAGCTGATAAAAACTCTATGGATCACAATGGTGTGTCTGAAACTTCCAGGACTGGGCAGTGTTTCGTTCCATGGATGAAGGTCATCATAAGTTGAAGTGGGGACTAGACAGCAACTAACAATTGACAGTTTCCTTTGGTAGTGCAGTACTTGAAAATATTCCAGTGTGAATTAACTGTAGCAGAAATATACAAACATGTATCTGTCTCTTTTCCCTATTCTTTTGACATCTCCTGATTGAATAAAAGCAAATCTTTTAGAGATTATTAACTCATAATTAAGAAGGAAATTTCCTGCCTGTTGATGGAGCTGTGAATGATATTAAATGTACTATGGACTGTCAAAATAACAAACAAATCTGTATTGGAGACTTTGTTTCACATACTTCAGGCCTGTTATCAGAATGGCCAGTTCTTGGAAAGGGACATCATAATTAGCAGAGTGGAGGGTCAGCAAAGGAAGGGAAGACCCTCACTGCGATGGATTGACGTAGTGACTGCAACAGGCTCACTGCACAGATTATGAGGAGGTCACAGGATCGGGTAAGGTTTCAGTCCATTGTACACATGGTTGCTATGAGACAGAATCAATTCCATGGCATCTAACAACAACACAACCACCACTAGTTAGCAGATGTCCTAATAGTGGTTTTGAGAAAGGCTATGACTGTTAGTGAGGTGTCTGTCTGCCACCATGCTAATTCCTTGCTTCTCTCAAACTCATCCACAGCATGGAACTTCGACAGAAGCCCCTGAATAAAGATCAGTGTCTCGGGGAGAGGCCAGAGTCGCTGCAGACAGGGGCTCTTTATCACTGCCACAGCAACTTCAGGGCTGCCGAGAACAGGGCGAAGGAGCAGGCCCACGCCAAGTGGAAGCTCTGCACAGCTTCGGCAATTTGCTTCATTTTCATGATTGCAGAAGTTGTGGGTGAGTACGGCTCAAAGGCTTTTCTGATTAAACAGAACCCTACACCTTTCCAAGAGGCTCACCTAAGTTGATCTTTTATCAGTAGCTTTCATGTTTCCTGTAATTACAAAATAAAAATAGTTCATTGTCAACAACCTGGAAACAAAACAAAATCCACCACTAGCTCACATTGGAGTGATAACCTCTCAATACATATGGAATATTTTCGATGTATTTCTATTCCTATTTCACAGGGTTGGTTTGGTGGTTTGTTTTGTTTTGTTTTATTTTTAAACATAATTGAGAGTGCACTGCGTGCTTTTGACTATGCCATCAAAGACCCTTCAAAAGCATTCTTAATGCCTGAACAATATTCTATACTATGCTCCACTGTGATTTACACAGTCTGTTTTGTTCAAAATTTAGGGAGAATTTGGGTTGCCCCCCCTTTCTTAAGGACAGTAATATAATGAAAACCAGTGAATAAAACTCGTCATGCCTTTTCAGCTATTCCCTTCAAAAAGATTCCTGAAAGAGAAAATAATTGGTCGAACAGCATAAACCTTTTTAAAACTTCTTCTAATGCATACTGCCCAAGTGCTATGCAGAGTGTTGGAAACAACTCATATGCCGATTAGTGCTGCATCGAGAATGATTCAGTCTCTAAATTTTTACCAACACATTACTGAAATGTTAATCTTTTCAGAATCTTTGATGATATATAAATAGAAAGGATTTCTTGTAATATATGTTTATATTATTTACTCTTAGTGTATTTTCCCCTGCATGTTTATTAGTGATCTATAGTTTCCACTGTTAATGGATAGATAATCTGGTGTCCTAGGGGGTAAGGAATTCTGTACCCAAGCCAAAGGCAAGAGTTTTGACCCTATACCAGATGCTCCATGGGAGAAGGGTGGGCAATCTTCTCCTGTGTCATTTACTGCCTCTGAAAAATCCACTGGAGGTTCAGCTATGAGTCTGTTCCAATTCAACAGCACACAGCAAGAACAACACATTTCTGCTTTGCCTTTGATTGTCTCCTGATAGTTTCTTAAGCAATGTTCTCCCATGGAGCAACTGGTGGCTTCTACTGCTGACCTTTTGGCAAACAGCCCAACACTAAATGCCAGCCTCATGCATGGCTTCTCCTCCAGTCATGAAAAACAAATACTTACTTTTACTTAATTTCTTATGTTTAATTTTTAGATATATCTTAAGTAAATAGATTGTATGCTCTGAGGACTAAAAATCTTTTTCTAAATAGCTATCAAAATTTAAAAAAAATTTATAGAATTAGAATCTTTCCCTTTATTGATTTTTTTGGTTTTTCTTTCATCATTTATCAAGTATTTCTAAGTAATAAGACCTAGTCCTGAAGTGTCTTATTGATCTGTATCCCTACTCTTTTGCCAGGAATAATCTTTCATAATTAATGGAAATTTATGTTATAATGTCTGTTGGTCTCAAGACAGTGGCTGTTACTTCTAACTCTAATTAAACTTGAAAATAATTTTGTACAATTCTCTTTTAAAATCTAATTATGATTTTTGTTAATATATATATAGAATAAATGGAAACAAAATATTACATTTTCTTATCAGAAAAAATATGTTTATCCATTTATTTAAATCTCTCAGTTAGATTTTGTGATTTTTATTTGCTTGAAAATGTAGCATAACTATTACTTGTAAAGTTATTTTGTATGTTTGATTTATTCATTTCAGGAAAAGAACCAGGGTAGGATCTTTTATTTAGATATTATATATTTTCTAGACAGTTACTGTATGCATCTTGTAAAGTTTATTGGTATTTTTTGGTAACTCATCTTTTTATTTATGTTTTAATTTTAAAAACATTTATGGTGGTTTGTTTATAAAGTTTGTATATATTGTGTTTCACACTATTCTTCAATCATCTTATGCTTCACAATCATTCCCATGCATTATGTTTTATAAAATCAGTCACCACAGAGTTTCACAGTTTGGTGAGTGGAGGGAGGGGGTGAAGGAAATGGGAAGAATCTGGTGGGGACCTGAAAAGTTTATATTTTTTATACATTCATTGTTGTTGTCGATTGCTGTTGAGTTGAGCACAACTCATAGAGACCCTATGAACAAAAGGCCTGAAGCCTTTCTATAACTATCGTCATTTATCAAGGAAAGAAGGAAGGATGGAAATAGTGAACACAAGGAGGTGAGAAGAGCACTGTTATATTTTGGGGCTTGCAATCAATGTTGTAAAAGAATATGCATATAAATTCCTGGGTGGAAAACCTGTTCACACTAGAAATTTTCAAACAAATCACAATGAAATGTTGGAAAGGGGAGGATGTAGCTTGGAGACTCAGCTGAGATTCATTCTACCTTGGAGTATAATTGGTGCTTAGAACTGAGGAGAGGCAAATCAGAGAGCCGAGCTTAAAGAGGGATAACAGGTAACATAACAGGCAATAAGGTGCAGAATAGATTAGAGGAAGTAACTGAAGAGGGCTGGAAGCCTCAATGTGTCCACTATCAAGAGACCTTGAACTCATTGAACTAGAACTCTTGCTGATTGCTGGTTGTTGTTGCTGCTATGTGCCATCAAGTACAAAGCATAGTGATCTTGTGAACAGATCTGAACCCAGTGCTATTCTGAGACATTCTTACCGTCTCCAACACACTTGAGCCCATTGCTGCAGTCACTGGGTCAATCCATCTCATTGCGAATCTTCCTCTTCTTTGCTGACTCTCCATCTTTACAAGCTTGATGTCCCTCTCCAAGGAATAGCCCCTCCTAACAAGATGCCAAAGTGTGTGAAACAAAGCTTCACCATCCTTGCTTCCAAGGAGCATTCTGACTTCACTCTCTTTAAGACATATCTGTGGTTTTTGCAGCCCATGTAATAGCCGTACTCATCTGTAACACCACAACTAGAAGGCATCGATTATTCAGTCATCCATGTTTGTTGTCCAGTTCTCAGAGCTCACATGCTGATTTTTATGCTGTTGTTATGTACTGTTGAGTCAGTACTGTTGGATCTTATACCAGATTCAGGGTGCCCTAGTTGTTTAGGTCACTTATATTTCTTGAAGTTCTAGGTGTTAAATGCTGAGGAGATGACAAATATGAAAACTATGATATTTTAAATATTTGTTAAATAAGCATTTAAAGTAGTCTTGCCATTAACAATAGTATAAGGAGCCTTCGTGGCCAAGTAACCTTAGAGGCTAGGATTTTGAAGCTCCATCTCAAATACTTTGGGCATGTGGACAGGAGGGACTGGTCCTTGGAGAAGGACAGCATGCTTGGAAGCGTGGAAGGACAGTGCAGGAGAGGAAGACCCAGGATAAAATGGATTGATACAATAACTGGGGCAATGGGGGTAGGTGTGTTGGAGTCAGTGAGACTGGCTCAGGACAAGGTAAGCATCAGAGCTTTTGTACATAAAGTCACTATTGTACATAAAGTCACTATGAGTCACAGGAGAACAACACTGGGACAACAGCTAAGTTCTTCCCCCCCTCCCCCACCCGTCCCCACTATTTTATTTACAAAACTCGAATACAAACGCAAACAAATTCTTTCCATTTCCCATGCCCCGCCCCATCCATCAAATTGTACAACCCAATGACTAATCCCTTCCTCCCCCTGCACATCCACATCCCTCTGCTTCCAGCCTCTCCCACCCTTCCTGGATCCTTATACTCATTCTACAACAACAGTTTTAAAAATATTTATCCTTGTGAGACTGAGTTAGTTCACTCAGCATAATGCTCTCCAGTCCCTCCCAGGTTAGGTAATAATTTACAAAGTTATTGCTCCTGCGTGCTGCATAGTATTCCACTGTGTGAATGTACCATAATTTCTCAACCCATTCATTTGTGGCTAGACATTTGGGCTGTTTTCATGTTCTTGTGACAGTGACTAATGCTGCTATGTATATTGGTCATAGTACACAGTTTGTGCCTTAGTTCTCATATTCTCAGGGTATATTCCAAGTAATGGAATAAAAGCTAAGTTCTTGATTATTAACTGAAAAACTTGAGCCTGCCCAGTGACTTTGCAGGCTGCAACTTGCACGAGAGGAGACTGACAATATTTCTAGGAGCTGCTGGGAGATTTGAACTGCCAGAGAATTGTTGTCTTTGGGTTAGCTTCAAGATTCCCTATAAACTGCACCACCTTAGCTCTGACAGCTTAGTGGTAAGAAGGTGCGCTGCCAACCCAAAGGCAAGTGGTTCCAGTCCACCAACTGCTCTTCAGGAGAAAGATGGGCAGTCTTCTTCCATGCCTCTAAAAACCTACTGGAGTGTCAGCTATGAGTTGATTCTGACTTGATGGTACGTAATAGCTTTTATTCTGTGAGAAAAAGACGTGGTGATTGGTTTCTGCAAAGATTACCGTTACCACCCAGTATCACTGAATCTGTTCTGACTTAGAGCAAATCTTTGTTGGATTCTGAGGCTATAAATCTTTATGGGCAGAGCAGCTGTTGGATTCAAACTGCTCACCTTTTGGTTAGCAGTCCGATACATCATTCACGGTATCAACAGTCTGTAAAATCTTATGAGGTAGTTCTATGCTCTTACACGGGGATGGTGTTCATTACCTTGGGGTCAGAACCTACTCATAGCTGACCCTCCACTGGGTTTCCAAAGTCTCTAAATTGCATGGGAGGAGATAGCCCATCTTTCTTCTGTGGAGCAGCTGATAGATTTGAACCACCTGCCCTTAGGGTTGGCAGTGAAGGTCCTTCCGCACTAGGCCACCGGAGCTCTCTCTCACATGGAGTTACTGGGTCAAAAAATTCACTCCCTGACATACAATAAAATATTATTCATCAGATAATAAAATTATTTTAAAAATATGAATTAACCATCTACAAAAGTGGAGCCCAGTCATCAGATACAGTGTTATTTTTGTCAAATGAACATTTTTCTTTTGCTTTTCTCAGTATGTGTCTGTCCTTCACAAACAACCTCATGAGGTTATAACATCAATTGTCTCCATCAGAGATGATTCACGCATGTCAGAGCCAGGCCTAAAGACTTTGTTGCCTTGTAACTCTTACCTTCATTCCCCAGACCCATAGTTAAATCCATTTCCAAGACTTAGACCTTTGTGTTTTTCTCCTGTCTTATTATAAGGGTAATGCTATCCATGCCTTTCTAAGTAATCCAGAAGTATAACTACATCTGACTCAGTTGGCATCTTTACCACAATTGCCTTTGGTCATTACAACAACTAATATCTGAGCCTCCAGCTTCTTCTGTCTCCAAATTATTGGCAAAGATCCCTCTCAAAGATCAAAATCACATATAGTTCTCCTCAGCCCACAGGAAAGCTTTCTGGTTTCTTGAGATGACATATAAAACCCCACACATAGGGCTTCCAGCCCATCGTTCGCTCTTATCTCCCATTATTCCTACAATACTTCAAACTTTCTCTCTTGCCCCAAAAGTACTATGTACTTTTCTCATCCTGAAAAATTCTTCTCTTGCTAATTCCTGTCTCTGTCTTCTGTAAAAGTTCCTCAATGTTCTCAGCAAGAGTGGCTCTCTGAGACTCATTACACAACTTTCGAAATAGTGAAATTTAGACCAAGGTCACTGAAGAGAGAAGCTGTGATTTGTCTATCGTTAAGCATCTTGTCCTTGGTACCAAGCACAGTAAGAGCCCAACAAATACTTCCTGGATGTTTGGATTAATTGTCAACAATACCTCATGCTTCCAGAAGCAAATGCAAATTCAAATGTCAGCTACCCCTTGCAAGCAGTTTCCCCCATCGGATTCGGCGAGGTTGGCCAGTGCCTTCTGGATTTTTCTTCTAAGTAGCTCTGGTGCTTACAAAATGTCCTCTATATTCATATGCTTTTCCCAGAGAAAGTCCTTTTTCTTTTGCAGTTGCTCCCCAACTTAGCTGAACCTGTGGAACAAAACTTCTAAGACTTCATTTCCTCAATTTAGGCCACAGTTTCGGCCTAGAATCTAGCACTGTGGAATCATTACCCTCCCTTAATGCGGCTTATCTGTGTCCCAGCAAGAAAGAACGCATTACGAGCACCGCTTTATTATCAGGCCCAAGGTAGACAGCTAGAGCAACATTAGAGGATAATTGGAAGGACAGCTGATTTGTTAGCAAAATGTTGCTTTTTGGCTAATGAATCATTCTGATTTTTTGCACTGACAGCTCAGTAAAAAGCTTGAGGACTACTTTGCTTCAGACCATTAAACTTTGACAAACCAGTTATTAACTACCGCTAGATCTAGCGGTCTGTGGGGATTGTGGCCATTATGAGCCATATATGTAATCCTTTTTAATCATTAGGTGAGACAAGGTGAGCCTGATGACGGAGGGGCTGGTGACTGACAGGGCTCGTGGCTGTGCAGCACGCCGGCAATAAACAGCCGCACCGAGGACTAATCAGTCAGCAGAAGCCCTTTGCTGGGAAGGTGCAGTGAGGGTAATCAAGGTTATTGCTCCCCGCCAACAAGCCTAGTGCAGGAAGCAAAAAACAAGGCTTCTTGGAGTTCTCTTTTGGAGGCTGGCTTTATTATCTAGTGTTCCTATAACAGAGATACAAATGAGCGACGTTAAAGAACATTTCTTCATATCTCAGCACATTTTATATTATGTTCTCCTGAGTCAATTTGCAACTCACTGCGGCCGGATGTGACAGAGTAGAACAGCCCTGTAAGGTGTCCTTGCTTGCAAACTTCAGGGGAAGGAGCCCTAGGGACCTAATGGGTAATGAGTTGCACTGCCAACCCGAAGGTGAGTGGTTTGAATTCACTGCTACCTTGAGGGAGAAAGATTAGCAATCTTCTCCTTTGCTGTTTATAGCCTCTGAAAACTAGCTGGAGGGTCATCTCTGAGCAGATACTTAATAATCAACAATTAGTGAATCATCAGAGTGCATCACACAGGTTTTTCTTGACTAGGTAGGTTCAAAGCAACATCCTTTTAGTTAGCAATTGAGTTAATTAGCTTAAACTTTGCACCAGTAAGAACCTGAATCCTGGCCACTTGCTTTAGGAGATGATAAAAAAAAAAAATTGAATCCACTAGTCACTCTGTGGGAAGAGATAAACGACCTCCTTCCATGCAATTTAGAGATGATGAAACTCACTGGAAAATCAGCTGTAAGTGGGTTCAGACTTGATGGCAATGAGGGTGAGGCACTAGGATAAATAACAGCTGTTTTCTCCAGTAAAGATTTATAGCCTTGGGAAAAATCAATGGATGTTCACTGTGAGTTAGAACCAGCTTGACACCAGTAGGTTGAGAAAGTGTGTGAGTTTCTCTCTTCTCTGTGTGTGTGTGTGTGTGTGTGTATGTGTGCATGTTCATGCTTTCAGGGAGAGAGATTCTCAGAAAAACTTTCTTTTGTTTGCTTGGTAGGGAAATCTCTTTCAGCTTGTCTTCTTTGGTTGTTTAGGTCATGTGGCATCACTCTTTCCACATATGCACTTCCTTAATTCTATGCTTAATTTGCTTCTTCTGGAGCCAAAAATGATTGGTTAGGACATATCTACAGATACACAGATATAGCCTCATTATCACACCAAAGAAACTCTATTCTTAAATATTATTACATCCACAGGAACTTGGGTTAGGATTCACAGCATACATTTTTGGGGAAACAATACAATCCATGAAAAAATTGGAAGTCTTTTCTGTAAGGGAGATTAGAGAAAAAGAAGGAGAGTCCACCACATGGAGAGAAAGGTGAGGCAGCTGCTGTGGCTTGGATTGCTGTTGCCTTCAAAAGCCCATGGGAAGATGCCTGTCGTCTTTGTTTCCACTATTTATTAGAACAGAGAACTTAAACACAAAGCTCTCAGGATCAGGTGGATAACATAAATAGTAAAACAGAAGTGGTGAACATGATGGTAAGATTATAAGTCAAATAAAAACACAGATGTGGGCCAGGTTGTGACCTCTGGTGCATAGAACAAAGTCCTGATCTTCAGACTGAAATATAGCATCGTTTTAAGAAAGCCTATACATTTCAGCTTAACCTTCAGGTCAGGCGGGAGCAGTGGCATCTGACCTCCACTAATTCTGCAAGGAGGAACAATCCCCATCGACAGCATCCTAGGGTAAAGCTGACTGCTGGTAGATCAGATGTACCTCACACTCCTGCATCTACTTGCATCAATTCTATTACCATGCTGGCCCTTCCAGGGCTCTCTCTGCTCTGCCCCTGGGTCCACTAATCCATTGCAACAGTAACATAGAACTCATAGATATTTCTCACAATTGTAAGATATATTGGAAGGAAGTGAATACCTTACAGTTCAGGTTGTAAACAGGATTCACTTCTTCAGTCAGGATAACTTCTCAGGTGTGCTTGAAGGCCCTTTGACCATTAGCCTTTTAGCTTTAGGCCAGGGTTACACAGCCATCTTAATGATGCCAATAATGGGTTCTCCCCTAGAGTCCTTCAGCAGCAGTGGGCAAAGAGCTCACAGCAATGGTTCTGACTCTGTGTCAGTCTCCCGTCAGCTCTGCCTGTGGTTTTTCTGCTGCTGTGGTGTCTCCATTGCAGACTGTCTCCTCACACAGGAATCTCTCAGATCTTGAAGGGTTCGCACCACATTCTCTGCTTCTTTTTTGTTGTTAGAAATGAGATTTTCCCTGTCTCTGAAATGCCATGCTTCATTTAAGCCTGGTGGGATGGCAAGACTGACCAATCCTGTCATGAGTAATCTACACACCTTGCATGTTCCCACCTCAAAGGTGCCATTCATTTCATTCACGTGGTTGGCATTGTTAGATATGAAAAAAGAGCATGAGGGAGAGAAATAATGAAAGGAAGTGGTCCCAAGAAACAAACAGGCCTTTATTGTGTGGTCTGAGAGGGACGCCAAGTGACCCAGCAGCCTAGCATGCAGACAGGATCAAATTGGCGCATGGGCAGTTTGGCGGGGGGTGGGGTGTGTGTGTGTGTGTTTCCTTTTTATAGGGGTTCTGAGAAGGACTAAAATGGTACTTCTTGAAATTTGGTGTGTTAATTTAGTTAGGTTTTAGCTTTTTTTTTTTTTTTAAATTGTTTGTTTTCTCAAGCTCAGACTCTTATCAGGATCCATTGTCTGGCCTGGTCCTTGATGTGACCAGCTCAGGTGTGATTAAGTTTCTCAGGAAGTGGTCAAGCTTGGGGCTGGTGGGGCAACTGCCATATTCTTCCTTCAGACATAGTCCCACCCAGCCAGGTGAAAGTCATGTGGTGAAAGTCAAAGCCAATAGGCTAGAAAAGTCAGTTTGACAACACCACGTGTGCCTTTATGTCCCAGTCTAAGTGCGATGCTGTCCAGATATGACTCCCACTTTGCAATATCTGAACCCTGTTCTTCCAGGACTAGCTTTTCTGCTGAAATTTCCAAAAGTTCAGATCCTATCTAGTCTCTGAGTCTTAGTGTCTTTACATGTCAGATTGATTAGGAAGGTGGGTTAAACACACTTCCCAATTCCTTTCTGTTCTGAAGTTTCTCCAGCCTTAACCTTGTGTGGTCTCTACACCCCTTAGGTGGACACCTTGCTGGGAGTCTTGCTGTCGTCACAGATGCTGCTCACCTCTTGATCGACCTGACCAGTTTCGTGCTCAGTCTCTTCTCCTTGTGGTTGTCATCCAGGCCCTGCTCCAAACGGCTGACCTTCGGATGGCACCGGATAGGTATGGCTGAGCAATAACAACAGGGCAAGTGGTGCCATCAGAACACGGGTGAACATGGAAAGTATAAAGCAAGGTCATGCTCAGGAATCCCTTAGAGGCATGGCTCTGGTGCACAGACTATAACAAATTTCTGTGTTGAAATACATCTTATCAGCCTTAATCCAAATAACACACAGATAAATGGTGCTATTGTACTCCCACTGGGAAACTCACAAGAACCAAACTCACCACCATCAACTTGATGCTGATTTATATAGCCTGTGAGGCTGTAAATTTCAATGTGAAGAGACTGCTCATCTTTTTCCTGAGGAGACACTGGTGGGTCCAAACCACTGGAGTCTCTGTCTTTTGGATAACAGTGCACCATGGTATGGACCAGAGCTCTGATTGGACAACACGAACATGGATATTCCTTTAGCAACCCTGTCCATGAAGGGCCTTAGTACTCTTCAATGGATTAGTCTGCATCCCTGGGAGAGAGGACAGAGGTGAAAGTTCTGCCACATTGCACAGTAAGGTACAGGTAGTGTCAGAAAGTTGCAGAGACTGATGGGATTCTTGGAACAGATTTGGGAATGGAGTATGAGCTATCTGGTTCACATGGATGTACAGGAATTCAACATCAAAGAGACTTGAGAACAGAGTGAAGGTGGCAGAAGATGGCAGCATGGTCTGTCTTTACCAGAAGGGACAGTTAGACCCAGAATCTCACTTGTAGACTGACAACTCTAGATTGTGGTTTTTTTAAGCTTAGAATCATAGGATGTTCTGATTTCAGAACAAACAAAAATGTTTTATCATCAAAGTTGCTTTGAATCACCTTGCCTTGAAAAGTCACAGAGTGAGAGATGAGGTAATAAAAAGCAGTAAAAGAGTTCACACTGCTATCAGGAATTACTTTTTGCCGGTACTTTAACAGAAAGGTACACTTGGAGACAAGTTCCTTTGACTGAATAACCATTGTTTATCTGAACACATTTTATATACTTAACCCCTTCTGATGCCAATGGTTAAAGCTCTTTTTTAAATATAGGACTTTTTGGTAACATGGGATGAACTCAGAATGTTAATCATCCCTTGTACTTTCTCATCTTGGGTATCAGTGTATATGAGAATTGGGATTACAAAAGACCAGGGCTATCCAATAGCACACTCCATCATGAACACGCTCTGTCCTATAGAGGACCATGTGCCTATACAAGAGTCTGAGTCAGAATCAACTCGACGATAAGTATTGAGCATTTCAATGTGTCTATTAATACTGAGCAACTGAAAAAAATACTGAGCAACTGGATTTTAATTTAAATTCAAATAGTCATATTTGACTGGTGACTACCATCTTGGACAGTACCACTACATATACACAAAGAAACTCAACACAATGATGGACTTGCCCAGTGACCCAACAGTTTTCTTAGTAACTATCTTAGTATCTTAATATTTCCTAATTAGCTTCTCTATGTAACTGGTTACTTTTGGATCCCTGACTCTTTAGGACTTGGAACGAGAAAGCTGAGTACTTTCGGGCAGGAAGCTTATTGGCAGGGTCAGGTGCTTCTGGCTACTTAACTGGGTAATTTGTTGTTGTTACGTATCTTCGAGTTGATATTGACTCATAAGTCAATCCCCTGGGAAGACAGGTTCCATCTTTCTATTACGGAGCAACTGGTGGATTTGAACCACTTGCCTGTGGGTTGGCAATGCAATACCTTACCAGTAAGCACCTGAGCTTCCTATTGGTGTTGCTTAGGAGTTTAATAAGTTGCCTGAGCATTGCAGAGACCTGGATGGACCCAGATGCTCAAGAAAAGGAGTGGGCTGAGGGTTGAAGGTCAAGAAGCGAGGAACACAGTTGGTATATGGATACAATGGAAATCATAGCAGAGAAACAGCTTGACAAGGTGGGTTGACATAGTTAATGTAACAATGGGTTCAAGCAGATCAGAGATCTTGAGCATCTGCCTTGTTGAGGATCTTATTCTTTTATGCTCACCCTTCACCTTTCCAAATATGATGTCTTTTTCCAAGAACTGGCCCCTTCTAACATGCCCAACGTTTGTGAAATGAAGTGTCACCATTCTTGCCTCTAAGGAACACCCTAAGTGCCCTTTTTCCAAGACATATATATGTTTGTTTGGCAGTCCATGGGCTATTCAGTACTCTTCCTCAAAAGCAAAAATCAAAGGCATAGATTCTTCATCTGTCGTCTTTATTTATTGTCCGTGGTTCAAATGCATAGCAAGTGATTGAAAAGATCATGACTTTAACCCGGTGCACCTTAGTCTTTAAGCTGACATTGTTCCTCCTTAGCACTTTGGAGAGGTCTTTGACAACAGATATTCCCAGTGCAACACATCTTTTGATTTCTTGGCTCCTGGTATAAAGGGTGTTGATTGTAGATCCAAGTAAGACAAAATCATTGTCAATTTCAATCTTTTTCTCCATCATGATGTTGCCTATTGGTCCAGTGGTGAGGATTTTTCTTTTCTTGATGTTGAGACAGAATCTGTATTGAAGATTGCACTTTGAAGAGGTTGTTTTTTGTTACATGCTGTTGAGTCAGAAGGGACTCATCTCTGCAGCAGTCGGCATTCTCAGGCTATAAATTACATGAGAAGAGAGTGTCCATCTTTCTCTCAAGGAACTTCTGGTGGATTTAACCAACTACCTTTGGTTTGACAGCACAACTCCTTACCTACTAGGCCACTGGAGCTCCCTAATTTAAAGACAAGAAGATAAATAAACATGTGCTTTGTCACTGACATTCAGAATGTTTCTAGAGTCTTGTGAACTTTTATTTTTATAATTTACTTTTTAAAAATTTGAGTGTGAGTTTGAAAAATCAGATTATTTTTTCTTTCTATCATCCAGAGGTATTTTGCTTTACGAAATTAATAAACATTAATTAATGTAATTAATTAATGACAATGTCCAATGAACTCCTGGAAGCACTGGTGGTCGGTCAAGTGGTAAGACGCTACGCTGCAATCCCCAAAGGATGTGATTCCACCAGCTGTTCCTTGAGGAAAGGATGGGCTGTTTCTTTTCTTGCAATTTTCTATGCGTGAAAACCCACTGAAGGGGCCAGCTCTGAGGTCAGCCTCAACTACATGCCACAGCAGTAAACCCCTCGGTGACACCATGCGTAACTTATCAGCCTGCTAGCCAAGGTTAGCACTCTGCATTTAACTTTTAGCAGCTGCTGGGAGGCATGGAGATGGGCAGTCTCACCCTCTGATGATGGAGTGATGGAGGATCACTGAATTAGAACCAACTTGCCCACAGTGTGTTTGGTGAGCTTTTAGAATCTATCTCAAGGTTGAACCTAACATCAAGGTGTGGTGTTAAGGAATACTTAATTGAACAGTTTGGTGGGATATACCATAATAGAAAAAAACAAAAAATCCTCAAAACTAGATCAATAAGAAACAATAAAAGGAAATAATAAATGGAGAAAAGGTTGAAATTTCAGAACATTTCATTTTATTTAGATCTATAATCGGTGACGGTGGAAACAGTGGTCAAGAAATGAAATGATATTTTTCAATGGGCAAATCTTCTATAAAAGGTCTCCTCTAAGTGTTAAAAAGCAAAGGCATCACTTTGAGGACTAAGATGTACATGACCCAGTCCTCTTTTAATCATCTCAAAAGCATGAGAAAGCTGGTCAGTGAATAAGGAAAACTGATTATGAATTGAGACCTTTCATTTACAGTGTTGACAAAGAATATTGAATATATCATGACTGACAGAAGAACAAACATAATCTGTCTTTTATGAAGTACAGCCAAAATGCTTTTTAAAAGCAAGAATGTTGAGATTTTGTCTCATGTTCTTTGGATATGTTATCAGGAGGGACGAGTACCTGGAAGACATCTTACTTGGTAGAGGAAAATGAAAAGGAGAAAGGCTTTTAATGAGATCCTTCGTCTATCATCCTTAGTCATTGTCCAGCTCTCTGATGCCTACCAAGTAACTGTGAAGACCATGGATTGGGTCAGGTGTACCTTAGTTTACAGACTGACATCGTTGCTCTTCAGCACACTAGATAGGTCCCTGACAGCCAACTTTCCCAATGCAATTTGTCTTTTGATTTCCTGACTGCTGGTGCCAAGAGTGGAACCAAGCAAGCTAAAGTTGTTCAATCTTAATTTCTTCACCATTTATCATGAAGCTGCCAATTGGCCTAGTGGTGAGAATCTTTGTTTTCTTGATATTGAGCTTCAATCTTTAATCCATATTGAAAACTACATACAGTCCTTGACTTTGTGCAGCAAACACCTCATGTCTGCCTCAGATTTAGCAAGCAAATTTGTGTCATCTTCATAACGCTAATTATTGATGAGTCTTCCTCCAATCCTGATGCTGCATTCCCTCTCATAAAGTCCAACTTCCTGAATGATCTATTCTGCATATAGAGGGAAAAGGTATGGAGATAGGATGCATTCCAGACACACACCTTTCCTGGTCCTGAACCGTTTAGTATTTTCCTGCTCTGTTCTGACTGCTGCTTCCTGGTCCAGTAAAGAGAAGGATAGACATGGAGACTGTCATACGGTGGCTGTCACAATTGGCTCAAATGTGGTAGTGATTGTGAAGGAAGTGTAGGACCTGGCTATGTATCACCCTGTTTAGATGAGGTTGCTCTAAGTTCTAACCGAATCAATGGCACCTAACAGCTCTCTTAGATAGGCAGATTGAACACTCCCCTATCTTTAAATATTAATGTAAATATCACCTTCCTGATTCTTGTTTACTTTACTCCTTTAAAATGCAATTAGAATATCAACAAGCCTCTGCACTCACCTCTCTGTCTGCAAAATGTGGGCTGGCAGGTGCAACTCATTTTCAAGAACCCTCTGATGTCTTCTCTTTCTACTGTTTATTCCACCAGAAGTTGCTGCCACTGGCAAGTTGTAAATGTTTTACAGTGAAATTAAGGGTTTCTAAACATATTTTACTCTTTGTGCCTCATTGTTTCATCTCCTAATATGTTTCCATTATTTTAATACCTGTTTCATGAAAAGCCTTCAGGGAAACAGTGAGGGCAATAGCAATTAATAGGCTTTAAACATTTGATGAAAAATACATAATGGTATGAAGTGCATGGAGGCAGACACTGGTGTTTTAGGAATATAGTCAAATGCCTCATATTAGTCCTGAAATCTGGCCACACTTTTGCTTTGTGAGTCACTAAGGGACCTGGTGTGAGACTGCTTTTTTACAGAGGAGAATACACCAGAATCTCAGGACTCTTGGGGAGGTGAGGGTGACCTACTGAGTAGCTGAGCCTGGGTGTTTCTGTATGTTTGGATTCCCTAGAAATCCTCGGTGCCCTGCTGTCCATCCTGTGCATCTGGGTGGTGACTGGTGTGCTGGTCTACCTGGCGTGTGAGCGCCTGCTGCACCCCGACTACCAGATCCAGGCAACGGTGATGATTGTCGTCTCGGGCTGCGCAGTGGTAGCCAACGTCATGTAAGTCACCCCCAGCTGCTGCCATGAGGTTATTGTACCCTGTCCTTTTTGTGCCATCCTCACTTCTGTTTTAGTTGAACACATTGTGTCAACCCAGCTGGTGGAGAATCCCCTCTTTCTCCCACTTTCCACCTTTACAAGCCTGACGTTTCTGAAGAATCACTTCTCCCAGCAACATGTCCAAAATACGTGAGACGAAGCGTTGCCATCCTTGCTGCCAAGAAGCACTTTAACTGCACCTTCTCCATGACATATCTGTTTGTTCTTTTGTCAGTTCATGGGATATTCAGTGCTCTTCTCCAACACCACAGCTCAAAGGCATCAGTTCTCCTTTTGCCAGTCTTAATCATCTTCCAGCTCTTAGATACATAGCAAGTGATGGAAAAGACCATGGCCTGAATCACATGTATCTTAGTCCTCAAAGTGACATCATTACTCCTCCAAAATTTGGAAAGGTCCCTGAGGGCAGCTCTCCTAGTGCAATTTGTCTCCTGATCTCCTGAGTGCTGGTATCAAGGGTATTGGTTGTGAATCCAAGTACGATGAAGTCATTGACAGTTTCAATCTTTGTTCCATCTATTATGGTATTGTTGCCTATTGGTCCAGTGGTGAGAATTATTGTTCCCTTGATGTTGAAATGCATTTAATATTGAAGGTTGTATTCTCTGAATTTCTGCACTGAGTGTTTAAAGTCCTAATCAATTTCAGTAAGCAAACTTGTGTCAACTCCATAACACAGGTGACTGGTGAGTCTTCCTCTGATCCTAATGCCCCAATCTTCTTTAGAGAGTCCTGCATAATTCACTGAGCATACAGATTGAACAGGTATGGGGAAAGGATACAGCCCCGATGAACACGTTCATGAAGATTAACTACGCAATGTTCCCTTGCTCTTCTCACCTAACAGCCTCTTGGTTGACATACAGGTTTCACGTACGTGCAATTAAGTATTCTGGAATTTTCATTCTCTCGATGTTAGCCATAATTTGTTACGATATATACAGTCAAATGCCTTTGCATATTCAATAAAGCACAAATGGGCATTTTAACAAATCCAAACCCTCAAACTCACTGCTGTTGATTTGGAATTGACTTATGGCTGATCCTTCATTGGGTTTTCAGAGGTGATAAATCTTCATGGGAGGAGAGTGCTTAGAAGAGAAGCTGGTGGATTTGAACCAGCCACCTTTGGGTTGACAGTGCAGCTCCCTATCCACTGGGCCATCAGAGTTCCCTTTATTACTATTATTATGATTTTATCTTTATTGCGAAAATAAGCATCCCTGGTAGAATAATGTTTAATGAACTAGTCTATGAACATTAAGCCAATTAACATTTGCCAATGCAATCTTTTTCAGATGTGCAAGTTAGTGATTTAAATAACATTAATCATGTTGTATAACTCCATCTTATGTGATGGTCTGATTCTGGGAAACTATACCTAAAGGGGACTCTGGTGGTGTGCTGCTGACCAAAAGACCAGCATTTCAAAGCCACAAAGCTGCTCTCTAAGTGAAGGGAGGTCATCTCCTCCTGTCAAGGTTTACAGCCTCAGACACCCAGTAAAGGAGTAATATCATGAAGAATTGACTTGGTAGCAGTGCAGTTATACCAAAAATGAGTTTTTCCTTACCTTCTCTTATGCTGGCCTTCTTTTATTGTTCTTTCACATTACGCCATGCCATATATATCATATATAGCACTCTCTTAATCATAATCTCAGAATATGTAACCTCACATGGCAAAAGGGAATTACAGAGGTGTACCCATGAGATTTTGAGATGGGGCGATACCTTGGCTTATCTGGCTGAGCCCGATATAAATACAAGAATCTCTGAAAGGTTCAGGAGGTAAGAAGATGCTACACTGCTGGCTTTGCAGAAGGAGGAGGTGGTCACGCACTAATAGTGCAGATGGATGGTAGAAGGGATGAGAAGATGGACTCTGCTCTGCAGCCTCCAGGAAGGAGCCAGCTTTGCAAAGCCTTTCTGACCTCCAGAAGTTGAAAAGAATAAAAAACCAGCAAGTTCTTTTTGGGAATTTGTTACAGCAGTAATAGGAAAATGTCGATCATCTATGTGTCTTGCAAAGCAATTTGATGTATGCTACAGTGGAGCTCTGGTTTTCGTGGTGGTGGTATGTGCTCCGACTCATATGGATCCAAGAACAACAGCTCTGAAGCCTGCCCTGTCCTGAGCCAGTCTCACTGACTCTGGCATACCTACCCCATTGCCCTAGTCACGGTATCAATCCATCTTCTTCTCCCACGCTGTCCCTCCATCCTTCTGAGGATGATGTCCTTTTCCAAGGACTGGACCTTCCTGGCCACCTGCCCAAAGTATGAGAGACAGACCTTCAAATTCCTAGCCTCCAAGAAGAAACTCGGTTTTACCCTCTCTAAGAGGTTTTAGAGGTCCATGCTATGTTCACACTCTTTTCTAGCACCACAACTCAAAGGCATCAATTCTTTTTTCTGTCATCCTTAGTCACTGTCCAGCTCTCTGATGCATAGCAAGTAATTGTAAAACTATGGTCTTGATCAGTTGCACCTTAGTCCCTAGACTGACATCCCTGCTTTTCAGTACTCTGGAGAGGTCCCTGACAGGAGAAGAGCTCTGGTGGCCTGGTGATAAGGAACTGTGCTGCCAACCTGAAGATATGTGGTTTGAATTCATCAGCTGTTCTTTGGAAGAAGAATAAGCAATGTCCTCCCATGTGATTTACTGCCTTTGAAAATCCACTGGAGGGTGAGAGAGAGGTTGGTCCCAATTTGAGAGTATATAACGACAACAACAACAACAGGAGCAGGAACATGATGAAGACAGTGGTAGATAAATGGAATTTTAAACAATTGTTTTTAAGAGATCACTACAAAATCTTTTGAAAAGGAGGAAAGACTGAACAGATCAACTTTAGAAACACATCCTGTTAATTAATATCCTTCCTCACGCCTATCTCAGATTCTTCCACCTCTCAGTTTTTGAACCATTATTTAAACCTTCTGCAATAAGCAATTAGAAAATGGTATTTGATCTGCTGTCACTGACTAGATCCCTATCTCTGGCCAGTTAACTTGAGAAGGTGATTCACATTGACACTGAACAAAAACACATGAGCAGATCAATGCAAATCTATCTCCACTAAGAGACAAATAACCCAGGACTCAAGTACTGTTGACAATGAGTCAATAACAACATCTTTGCACTAAGAGCACAAAGCAGCAGAAAAAGAAAAGTATTAATAACTTTTCAGGAGTCATATGCAACAGAGGTTGTGCAGTACTGCAGAATCACAAAGGGTATATCTAGCCAAATACCTCATAAATCTGGGGCCATCCACAACCACGCTGGCTTGCTTATAGCATCCGCTCATATTTCCTCTCTGCTGACACCGTTCTTGACCCTTGACATTAACACTGCAGGTGTTTTTCACACCGAGAAAAAAAGAAACAAACTGAAAAGCTCTGCGCTCCCTGTGAAAGTAGGTAGGTATTTACAGATAAAGGTACTGAGTGGCTGCACTTTTCTGTCTGAGAACTGGAATTGCAGGTTTCAAGAGCTGTTAGATGCAGTGTTTGAATGCAGAGTATCAGAACCACAATTTGGGAAACCAAAGTCAGGACAAAAAAGTGCTAGTGGAAGGCTGGAGATTATAGACGGAGCCATTGGACTTTCATATGTGAAATGTCCTTTGCCAGAAAGAGCAGTGTCAGATGATCCGACAGGCAACTTGTGCTTGTCTGCTACTCTGTTTACTCATTCGTTCATTCACTCACTGATCCATTTACTCACTGCCTTCGATTCAGGCCTGGCTCATCGATGACCCTCTAGTGGGTTTTTAGAGGCTGTAAGTCACATGGGAGGAGATTGTCCATCTTCCCCTGTGGGGCTTCTGGTGGATTTGAACTCCCAGAGAGGAGCTGCCTTTGGGTTGGCAGTGCAACTCCCTGCAGGGTAAACCAACAAAGCCCCCATTAGTTTACTAATCTGCATCAATTAATTGATCCGTTTACTAGTCTAGGGTAACTAACCTGTCACTACAAATAACTACCTACCGGCAAATAAACCTATGCTTCCCTTGCTTTACTGAGAAATCTGCCCTTGGTTGTCAAATAAGCTCAACTGCTATGTCTTACTAATTAAACTCGACTCTCCCTTTGTGCCATTCATAGTGGCAGATGTTTGTATGACTTGTTAGAGAATTCTATATTTGTTAGAATTTTTGAGTTGTTTTTCTTTTAAAATTTCATTTTATACAGATTTACATACAAAGTTCATAAAGTTTATATATACTGTTTTTCACACTGGGCCTTTCCCCATCCCTCCCTCCCCCTATCAAATTGTGTGACCCTATGTTTAAATCCTCCCTTCCTTGGATCCTCGTTCATGCTCTATAATAACGGTCTTAAACAGTATTTGTCTTTATGAGACTGAATTAGTTCACTCAGCATAATTTTCTTCAGTCCCTCCCAGGTTAGATAGTACTTTACAAAATCATTGATCCTGCATACTACATAGTATTCCATTGTGTGAATGTACCATAATTTCTCAATCCATTCCATGTGGTTGGGCATTTGGGCTAACTTCCATGGTCTTACGATGGTGAATAATGCTACTATGAACATTGGTGTACAAGTCTCTGTGCCTCAATTCTCATTTTCTCAAGGTATATTCCAACCAGTGAAATAGCTGGGTCATATGGAATTTCTATACTCAGCTTTTTGAAGAAATTCCAAACTGCCTTCCAGAATGGTTATAGCATTTTACAATCCCACCAACAATGTGTAAGAGGTTCTATCTTACTACATCCTCTCTAACATTTATGACTTGCTGTCCTGTTAAACTTTGCCACTGCTACTGGGGTTAGATAGTATCTCATTGTGGTTTTGATTTGCATCTCTCTTACTGCCAGTGATTTGGAGCATTTCTTCATGTGTCTGTTGCCCATCCAAACATCTTCCTCTGTGAAAAGTCTTCATTTAATCTCTGTCGTCTTCAACA